TGTTTTCTTACAGTGGCCTCAAAACCCATCTCATTAGCACAAACACTTCCTGGGGGACCTTGTAAGTGCATTTCCCTTCAGCCAGTAATGTGTTAACTTATTAATTAGAACTGCTGCTGCAGGGTAAAGGAAGAGAAAATTAATTCAAGAGCTGCCTTAGCAGGCCAACCTATCTCGGGTACTCTACTCACAGGAGAGCTGTGTGCAATTCAGTTTTGTTTAATTAGTCCCACAAAAAGCAACTGTTCGCTCTGATAAGAGCAGGGCGAGAGCTGCGAAAAACAAAACCGTCTCTTCTATGCAGCAATTTAATTTTTTTATTATTACATTCTGACATGAAAAACTGTTCACTCCTTTCTCTCACTGGCAAACCAAGGGCATTAGTCACCAACTTCTGTGCTCTTCCTCTTAGTTCTAATGAGCCCACCACCAGAGTAGCTAGGGCTAATAAGTCCCAGGGCTAGCAGGTAACAAATGATAGATACATCATCCCCATAAAATTGGTGGTAGAGGTTTTCTCATGAATTTATGACTCTACCTTATATTTACTGAATTCTACTGCCAGTGCTGTCATGCAGCTTACAAGTTTTGATGCAGAGGCTCATCGACTCCAAAGGGAGACTATCTAGGTCCTGTCCGAAGAGGTGACAAAAAACCCCCCAAAAATAAAAATCAAGGCTTCCTTTGTTTCTCCCCTTGCATATCCCTCCCACCTGCCTACTGTTCTTTTCCACTCTCCAGACCCCTGCAAGCAAGAACTGAAGCATCCCTGCATATCAATATCCTTTTCTGACACATAAATCTTTAAATTTTAATTCTTGTGTAGTGCCAAATGCAGAGAAGTGATAGTCAGACTACAGGAATAAAGTAAAAAAAATTATGGATTTCTTACAGATTTGGAAATATGCCAAGAATGTTTCCCTTTCAGTCACTCCAAATTTTAAATCATTGAGGTCTGAACCTCAATACTTTAGTACTGTCAGTGATATTAATTAAAATCTTTTCCTATTTACATGCTATTCTCTCTCATCATCCAAACCACAAAAGCAGTTTTCTTTGAACTGCTTGAAATTCTTTTCTGATATAAAGATGTTAGTTCCTGCTAACTATTTCTCACTTCCCCCAAAGCAATTAAAACTCATGTCATCCTGTTTTACAATCACATTTATCTGTCTCTTTCCCATCTCATGTTACGCAACACTAAAAAACTGGAGACACATCGAATCTTTACTCATCTGCTTCCTTTGCTCAGTTACCAAAACTATTCAGATCTAGAACACATCATATTTTTATGAAGCTATGCCTTCCAATAACTCAATTGCGTTTCTCATTTCTTCAATAACTCCAGCTTCCAGAAACATATTTTCCCACACACGTTAACAGTAGGTAAAGCAGCAGAAAAACTAGCAGCACTTCTCAAGATCAAAGCAAACCCAAAAAGTCTCCTTTAATCAAGAGAAATTTAGCTAGTGTCAACAAAATTAAACTTACTTTCTAAATACAGAAGAGCAGTCAGAAGAATGGTCTTAATATTGAGAACCAATTACCAAGACTAGCAGTTTCTAGATAAGCCAAAAAGTGTTTTAAGTGACATGACACACTCAGTGACAATGATCTTGTCTTCCTCCATTCTTAACTCCTAAGAAAAATGACTGTAAAAGGTGGCCCTCTTAAAAGGGGATTTTAAAAGGCAGTGGTGGATAAAAAAGTTGGTGTAACTACACAGTGTCATCCAGGGTGGAGGGATAAGGAGAAATTCAGATGTTACTAGTTCTACCGTTCACAGAAAAATATGATTAGATTTTCTTTTTTGGGGAGTGGCAATGACTAGGAGAAAAGACTGAAGGCTTTGTGAGTTTAGGGCTTGATTTGTGGTTTGTTGGGTTTTTTTTTTACTTAAGAGGAAGATCTTGTGCAGTTTTATTTTGTCTGCAGAATTAGAAATTGTCTTCTCTTTTTTAGTATTAGAAAATCAGTTACTAAAATAAAGTAAAATAATTAAGAGCCAAAATAAAGAAATACAGCTAAGGTGAATTTACTGAACAACTGAAAGATAGTATTTAAAAAAATGAATCACTTTAGGCACTCCCAGAAGATCTTTTTCTTATGACTGTCAGAGGCTAAGAGGTCATAGCAGACGAAGTAAAAAACTACATAAAACCCCACTGTAGAACAGCTTAAGTTCTGCAATTCTTTCTTTCTTTTTTTTTTTCCCCCTGCTGATAATGCAATTGCAAAGAATAAAAAACAAGACAAAAATGCCTGGATACAGATGTTGACAATTTTTTGAATCTTCAGAACTTTCTCACATGCCTAGGGAAAAACAGGTGCTGTTAGAAGTGGTGTGTGCTTCAGAGCGCTTAAGGGAAGTCATATGCGCTTTCCTCTCTAAAGATGATTTCCCTCGCTCCCCTTCAAATGGTAACGTATTAGCATACTGCCATGAAATATTTCTGATCCGTTTCAGTATCAGTTTAAAAAATAAAACAAACAACTTCAAAGTATTAGACTAATTGTTTTGGTTTTAATGAACGTGTAAGAAAGAATTAGTAGATCTAAAAAAATCTAATTTACTTGTCTACACAGGCCTTTATTACAGGTTTCACCAATTTCAGAGAATTTACTCTGGCAAGGAGGTAACTGCTGGAACCCAGGTGACTTCAACTCTGTGTCATGAGGCAGCTGTCAGCTGCAGCTCTCTGCGGACAGACAAAGTTGGTCGGAACCTCACACCAAGAAAGATCAGCACCTTCACAGCCTCACCTCTAGAATGAACCACTCCCAGGTTAGCCAAAGGCAGACCAGGGAGTAAACACCATTAAAATAAAAATGAAATACCAAACCTGAGTATATTCACACTCCATCATGAGGGACCACCAGGAAGGGAAAAAACTGCAAAGAAGTCTGTAGCAAAAGAAGACTGAAAATGCAGTAGTGCCAGCAGGAAGCCCCAAAGTAGCTCTGGAGCTGGAAAGACTTTGAGACATAGAAAAGACAGGGAAGTTTGTGCTCCACGGGAAAAATATAAATATAGATGTGGTGCTGTCAATTTTTAATCGGTGGACACTTGTCTAGCAATTAATATTTCAAAAATCATCTCTACATCCTGCATCATTTTCCAGGGGATTCTGTTGAAAGCAGCACCATTTAGCACAGCGTCTGGTACTTACGCTGTTCCTAGAAGGGCATCGGCCAGGCAGCAGTACTGTGCTGTGGTTATACTAAGGCAGCCCTTCACCTCTCATATAAACAGAAGCACACAAAAAGGGGTGACTCAAGAATAAAAGAGGCCACCAAATTATCCTGTTGGACAAAGCCACAGAAGTGCCTTTCATGTGTGATCATATCAGTAGTAATTTTGGAGTAGTTGTTTCAGTTTTGCTTGGCTCTGTTACTCCCGCAACAACCGTGAGCATTTCACCTTTGTGTGAGAAATCCAGATCGTGCAATTTTTCAGATGTCCAGCTGTCATACTGAACCCCATGCATGACTGCTCTCAGTCAAGACGACCCTTTTTAAAGTTCTGTCACACATTTGGTTTCACAATGTCTCTATTCGGACCATAGTATTATAATAGATACATAACATTATAAATAATTTTTAAGAGAGAAAGAGATTTTAGGGTGTTCCAGTTAACCAGCACAAATTAAAAAAAAACACAACAAAACCAAAAAAAACACACACAGAGAAACAAGCAAAAAAATCAACAAAAAAGAGGACTCAAGTCATTATTGTACGTGACAATTCCCATTCCTTTCTCTCCATTACTTAACAGCTTATGCCACAGTCTTTCTTTTTTAAAGAATGTATCACTATGAAACATTCCTCTCTTTTTTTTGGTACTACCAAGTTTTCTTGTGAAATAAACAGGAAATTAATGACTACTTCAAAACAGATATCCATATCTCCATGTTTTGAATTAACAAAAGTAATTACAATATTTATATCCAAAGACACAAATTTAAAACTGCATCCAACTCCTGTTACTTTCTATGAGTAAACCCAGTTACAAAAATACTGAATGAACTTGTGGTCTCTTAACAGGCAGAATTTAAGAAAATGACACGATCTTTCAAATCAGCATCACAAGAATCTGTGGAGTTCCAAATAAATACCACAGGAAGACAGTGAGTACGTTTCAGGAGTGCAGCCTACGTTTCTGCTCACAAGTCCACACAAAACACCTAATCTTGTCAATCTGATTTCTTTATGCTAAACTAACTTCTGTAGTGAAAGAAAGGACAAGTCCCTAAGAGGTCAGAATCAAGAGTGTAAGAAAGGGTATTTCATGCCCAGATAAACCAGCTGAAGCATCACAAAAATTTGCGAATAACAACCTCAAAAAATCATACCTTTACATGATACCTTGGGAACAAGCTAACAGTGATTCCTGTGTGCAAACAGTACTTGTCAAAGCTACCTCATTTAATGAGGAGGGTCATCGTCTAAATTGAGGACAAATGCATATATACAAAAGTGCCAGTTATACCCTTACATAAGAAGTAGTGATTGAATCAAAGTGCTCAGATCATCATTGCTAAAAAACTGTTAGAAGAAAACAGTCATTCTAGCACAGTTCTCTGTAAAGACTGTTTTCCACTAATTTCCCAACCCCTAGGATTAACGAAACTAAAAAATTAGTATATGATGATCCATTTTTTCAGATTATATTCTGCATTTCTGAGTACCACAGCAACAGAGCACGTAAGACCTATCAAAACAAGACAATTTTGTTATATAGTCTTACATAATAAAGAATAGGATTCAAAGATTTCTTTATGGGTCTGGTTCTGAGAAAAGACTTAGAGAGAATTACAAGATACCCCAAGGAGCAGCACATGCTCAATTTCACAGTGTTAGAAAGGGAAGGATGGGGATGGATAAAATTTTATGACAGCACTAGTTCACTTGAAATTTTGTGAGTGCTAGCATGACAACTCCCTGCAACGCAGTTTCGAAGAAAAGCACCAGATTACGTATGTGAAACAAAAATTTCTTACCTGTGACTTCCATCCAGATTTGATTTGTGGATGAAATTCAGTTTAGCATCTGCCCAATAAAGTTTCTGTTCCTCATAATCCAACGTCAGTCCATTTGGCCAATATATGTCCGTGTTAACTATAATGGAGCGGCTTGAACCATCCATCCCAGCGCGTTCTATCTTTGGCACTTCTCCCCAGTCTGTCCAATACATGAACCTATAATTATTTCAAAAAGAGACAACAAAAGAAAGCAATCACTTATAAATTTACATCTGGAACACTGACTGCAACTTTCAGTAAAGGCAAAGGCACTCTCTAGTCTACAGAGATTGTGTCTGTAGTGCTCCGTTCTACTGGGTAAGGCACACATGTCCAGTGAAACACAACAGAACAAAGTTACTTTACAAAAAGCTGAAGAAAAACAACTTAAGACAAATCCACAATACTATATTACATTAAACCTCCATATGCTTTTTTTGTGAAGATGGATATTACAGACCATCATGAAAGTACAACAGCCTCTTTCACCTTGGTCAAACAGAAAAAAGGTGTGTGGACTTACAGTGAATATAGCAGCTGCATGCAACGCAGTGAACTGTATTTGATAGAAGACTGATTCATGTCTCTTTTTTTTTTTTTCAGAGACAGGCAGCTAAATCAACATGTCTAGAAACACAGTTAGCACCCAGTGACCTGGCAAAATACTCCATAAAATCTTTTAAGACTGGGAAAGCAAGTATTAAAACATGTTACCATTTACTGACACATACTTAAACATTATTTAGCACGTAGTAGAGGGAGGGCAGTTACCTAGTTGCATTTAAAACTGAGGTGAAGCAAGGGAAACCACTTTATTACAGCTGGAGACTAGCAGGGGGTAAGAATATTTGTCCTTTTTATGCAGGTGGTAGAAAATGGATTTACTTTTGTGGGTTGTTAACAGAATGCATAACTTAACACAAGTACCATATAATATAAACAGATCAGACAAAGTGTGTCCCTGGCGCTAGCTCTGTTTTGTTGTTGCAGCTGGGACAGACAAGAAGACAAGATGACTAGTGTCCTAAATTCCTTCTCATAACCTCATGACATAAGCCAGCATACCTGCTCGTATCTGTGCTCCCTAACCTGGCTCAGTCAAAATAATCCAGACTGGGAAAGATCTGAAGGCTCTAAACCAACCCAGATCATCACACAACCACAACATGTCACTGTATGGTGCCCACATGTGAAGAGGCCTGGCCACCCATCCTTTAAAGAAAAACAAATGTGTAACACATTTAAAAAACATTTGCAGATAAAGTTTTTCTTGGAAAAAGTTTATTTTTCTTTATTTAAAAAACTCAGGAAATTTCATGTGATATTTCCCCCCTTGATTCAAGTCTACAGTGTGTTTGTTTTAATGCACAGCTATATCTGCGGACAGAAATGCAGCTGATTAACACCAATATCGCCCTATTCCATCCCAAGTGAGTCATTGTTCACAGAGCAACATGCCTGGCTAAAACACAGAACACAAATATGTAAAGAGAACGCGTGAGATTTCTGTAGGCATAAACAAGTGCTACAGAGAAACTGGTTTTCCAAGAGGAAGAAGGAAAAAGCCAGATAATTTTCACATATGTAGCACAGTAGCAAGTCACTTGGTCAAGCTACACAGTAAGCAGGCTACATGCTTGAAAAAAGAAAAGTTAAAGTCAAGCAGCATTTTACCAGCAAACACATATAAGAAAGAAGAGAGAAAAAAAGAGAGGTTTATTTTAAACTTCTTTTAAAAGAAGATGACCCTTCTTTGCCCCAGCTGTCAAGTCCTAGACTTCCAAATAGTTCATCAAGGTTAATAGGTTCCAAGGCTCTGGCCACCCCGCTAGACTGATTCTTCAGGCTGAAACAGCTCATTAGTCTCTGTAAAGCCTCATCTTCTTCCCATCTCCCTCTCGCCTCTCATGCACGCTGCAGTTACTCAGGCTAAACTGGGTAAGGCTACCTTGGAAACAAAGAAAAGCCTTTGTGGACTTCACAAAACTATCCCCATTTCATTTGTCAGAGGAACATACATGTACGTAGAACTGGCTTTAAGATTCACCAACATCCTCCAGGGATGGCAACTTCACCACTGCCCTGGGCAG